GAGTGGGGAAACTAGGGTCAGTCCATACTTTTGCTAGCTGCTGTATTGATCATGTGCATCTGACTGACACCTTTTTGATTTTCAATGATTTTCGGAATCATTTCAGTTCGTAATAGAGAATTATCTGCACTTATCGGAGGTAAAAAGTTCCAAGGAGTGTAAAAAGAAATATGCCTTATGCTTAATAGTAACTTTAGAATAAGTAGCGGAGTAGTACTTTCATGTTGGAGGCTTCATTTACAAAAAGAACTCAGGACAAACTACTGGGTCGATAAGGTCTAACATTACCATCCCATTATATTTTTCTCTTGAAGCTACAGGTTATTGAGAATGAATACTCTCCCAACAGTACTCTTCAACAATTAATCAAATTAAATGAGGATATGCGACATGGTTAATAAGTTTTATGAATTTGTTTAGATCATTATAACTAATATGCCTCTTTGTACGGAAGACTGATTTATGCACATAATCAGTCCCTACAACAACTTTTTGTGGCCTAATAACACAGCCGTAATATTTGCAACTGTGTCTGTAAATAATATTCACGCGAACGTCTTAAAGAGATGTATTTTCTGAAGTATCAAGGAGACTTTCTTAATGACTAGATACAGTTGTAAGTCATTTACCATGACCATCGTCATAACTACTTCTATTTATCTAACATTCTCACTTAAAAACGTATATCCTTGGACAATAGAAAAGATTTGCAACTAAGAATTTATTTAATAACAATAATTATCAACATTAATATTAAACCATAGGTACTTCAGCACTAGGCTAGTGGTTTAAACAAACCATACTTCATATGAACACCTTAAGAAGTTATTGTTGGTGGAGTTACTAACGGGTGTGGTGTAATCTCTAAGGTCAAAGAACACTAAACAGTTAAATAATGTTCTATCTGTGAGAGTTGAAGCAATGATTCAAAGTTTTCACACTTGATTTATTTAATTATCATTTATATTATTTAACTGTTGCTCCCCCTTAAATGACCGCTGAGTAAAGAAAAACAAATTGAAAACCCTTTGATGTATAGTAACTTGGTGACACAGTTAGTCTTTGAAGTAAACATAACATTCTCTTTGTCATTATCATCATTTTCCATTATTAATTGACTCGATTATGTAACCGATTTCTTTATTGCTTTTGTGTTATTTTCTTAATATTTAGAATTTGAAATAATACAGGAAAGTTAATAAACTTATCAAATCGTAATTAGCCATTGCTATCACCAACAGTAACTGCTACCTTTTAACCCGCATTTTGGTGAATTAGTAACTTTACAGAAGGATGAGTAGACTAAAAGACGGATAACTGTTAAGAATGAATTAACCAGATGATCATCATAGGGTTTGTAAATAACAATTTAATAAGCATAGCTATTCGTTGATAAATGTAAATGATAAATGTTTTAATGTTGTTAAGAAATAAAATATACTGTTTAAATATATGAATAAATGTTTCCGGGGACATTTTATTACTTTGTTTTAATCATACTTATTATTCAACCAAATGGATGTGTTTAAGTGATTGACGATCGACAGTTTATAATTCAATTAATTTATCAGTTCGTTATATTTGATTTACAATTTGAAAGTTATTTTCTCTTGGTCAACTATTTAAACCTAATTTCAAAATCACAGACTGAACGATTTAAGCATAAAATTGTAAGACCTATGAAAATTAATAAAGGTTCTATAGAACGTAATTCTTCTCATACTGAGTCACCTAGATTGAAAATAACAATACAGAAATTTAATTTATGACGAAGTAAAAGGTTAGTAATTTGAAATTTCTTAAACATGAGGACAGAGTTTGTAACTTAAAGGCTAACGTAGTTTGAACGGAGCTTAACGTATTAAAATGTAGAAAAACATGACTATTAAACGAACCCATCAAATACACTCATCTGTTTGTACACTAACAAACGTTGATTCTATCAGTGAATAGGTCTGTTCATTGAATTTTTAAACCCACATTCAGCATATGCCATACATCGTCCCTATATATTCATTTTTTCCAAGAGAGAGAGAGTGTGTGTGTATTCTTCTTTGGGTTAGTTCTCAACATTATATGAACGTACTATCTTCGCAATTTACGAACTACCACGTTACAGTTGTTTCTGCAACTAATATACAATGGAAACGTTGAACGAAGTGAATACACTCAATCCACTAACACTGAAAAATTCTCCACTTTCTGTTATCATTACAGTGACTTGGCTAAGAATTAAAAGTGGAGTTCAGCACCTGTATTGCAGTAAAAGCTACTGGTACAAAACAATACAAACATCATGGAAGCCAAATACATGGTCATTAAAGCTGTATGGTTTGAATCACAAGTGCTCTGTCCTCTGTAGTGCATTTCATTTGTTTTTACGAAATGATTGCTGTTTTGACACTAGGTTACACAAATTTGGAAAAGAAGTATCAAGGAAAATGGTTATCCATAACACTTCTTTTTTGTTGGAAATAAGAGACTTCGACTATAAATAACATGAATTTGTGTTTATACTGATTATAAATGATTAAACCTATATTACTATCCCGACCCAGGTTAGTGCACTATGGGTTAAGCGTTCCCTTGAGAGCCAAAAGATTGTGGGTTTGGTTTCCGCAGGAAACACTGAGCTCCAGTGTCACATCTTGTTTCTGTACATGACGGTTTTAGGATTTCGTATTAAATCGAATGTACTCTATATCCCAAAGCAACTTAAGTTGGACAAAAATTTATAATCAGAACTACATGAGTGTTGTTTCGTCCATCACTTGAAATCTACAGTGGCTTGTGTTCATGCTTAGTCCCGATATTAGAAGTGTGGTCAAGAGTTAATACTACTGAAATGTAAACTTATTAAAAGCCTATAAGATGATCACTAATGATACTTTGTTAAAGGACTTCAATCATCTCTTGGTATGTTATTTTTTCTTAGGAATCAATTAGTGAGATTCTTCTCATAGGATATAAGTCAGCGGTTATGAAGAGGGAAATTGATTATGAATACAGTGGTCTTGGGTGCTGTTAGAGGTATGAGGGTGGTTATCATTCTCCAGTTACTTAAACGGTAGAAAGGTTCTTCTAGAGGTTTCTGAAAAGGAAATGGGGTTAAAGTTGGTCTTAGCGACCTTAGAGCGTGAACGCAGTGCACAAAGGACAACTGCTTGAGGCCGGTCACACACGACCTTTTTGTGTTAGCTCCGTGTTCGAATCTATGAGATAAGGCGAGGTGTGACTTCTTAGGATCGACCTCTTCTAACTCCATCCTTCCTTGTGGGAAGACAGAACCGCTGTTATGCTGATTGTCTGAAGGAAGCACTTCAGTGCCGTCACACTTCTGTACAGTCAGCGGTACGACTTCGCCATCGGTCCTTGGGTTTGCTGCTATTAGTCTTGCTGTTCTTAAACCGACCTGCCTGGCATGGTAGAACCTTGCGGAACGATTGTCTCAGCCAGTATATCCCGGTTGGTTCGTCACGATTGGCGAGCCCGACCATTACGTCAAGGTAGCAGCGACAGTCCGGTGAGGATAACAGAATAAAAACACTTCATTTGTTGTTGGTTCAATGCCTAGTCTCTCTCTCTCTGCCTAGCCAGAGTTTAGTGAATCGGGTTGTTAAAAGACGAAAATAGGCCAAAGCAACATTGATTGGTCGCCCGTGAATTTATTCACTAGTAACAATTAGGCACTAGTAATCAGACTAATTGTCTTCAGAATCCCAAGTTATAAGAAATGTCAGAATTACTTTCGTGACCACTAGGATGGTAAAGGTCCGTCTTATTTTTTAAGGATGACAATGATTATTAGAGGCTCAGTCATTCTTAAAGACCTCCAAATTATAGGGAATAAGGTAGACTGCTGACATTTTCGGAGATGTTTCATTTAAATGTCTATCAAATTTAATAATATAATCATACTACCCCTTCATGTTAACCCATATTCTATGATATGAAGATTCTATGGAGTCATCATGTGGCAATTTTTCTCGTTCAAAAGTATGGTTAGTCCTGATTTCGTAGATCCACTTGAAATTACCCAGTGCTTTGCAAGCGGATGAAACCCATCATTTTCACTGATTATTGAGTGCTGTTTATCGTGGACACAGCTCAACTTGTGACATATTTTTCCCCAAATGTCATTCTGAAAATAACTTTTCTGTCGACTAGCTTTTAGCTCTAGATTACAAAGGTAACAAAGGTGATAACGAAAGGCAAAATATTTCAGAAACTTTGTCTAGGAATCTTAGAACACGTTGTATTCGGTTTATACCTATGATTTGTAAACGTACTTCGTGAAAATGCTGGATGCTCACGTCTGAACTATTATGAGTAAATTAAATGAAGGAAAATTTCTGTCACGGAATCAAATTCATGTACTAGGATTCTCAAACATGGAATAAATATGGTTGGTGAGTGGTTAATGAACAGACCAAAGATATTAGTCAAGAAGTAACTTTTAAAAGTAAACGATATTTGAAAATTACATGTATGTTTTGGTGAGTGGGTTCAAATTCCCATTCGTGTACGACAAAACTACAGAGATTGTACTTTCGTGGCCATTTTAGTGATTTTATGTCAAAGAAATAACCAGCTAATGTGGCTTTAAGCAAACATCACAACGGCTCACTCTGTCTTTGAATGTTTGAACAGATTAATTTTGATAGTGCAAAGAAAATGTTCCGAATACTATGTAAACTATGTCATGTATTAACTTACACTTTTCTTCATTCACAACTTAGCACTTCTTATCCATTATGCTTCCCTCTCCAATGTTTTTTTCTGTTTAGTCGAGGAATCATAAATTCATAACTCTTAGATTAAATAAGATAACAACTATTATGGTAGTATGTCAGGCTAATCCTTAGAGCAATAGATTCTCACCGAAACCTCAGACATATGTAGTCATAATAGTCGAAATTACTTTGTTTTTCCTAAATCTCAATGTTCTGCTATTGTATATTCACAAGTTTCTTTAAAATCCCGAATCAACAGAACCAGTTAACAAAATATACTATATTTCACTCCGAAATTACACAATAGACGCAATTGTTTGCTAGTGTAAATAATATACAGTTAGTTATTTGAATATATTATTTGTTTAGCTATATAAGACTGGAAAAGTTTTGTCTTTCTTTCAAGAATTGAAAATATGTTTTTATGTTACACAGCCATATTTTAAAAAAGGTGTACCCATGTCATTTAGAATTTCAATGTAAGTTAAAAATCTGTTTTGAATTATTCACGACAATTTCGATAACCTTCACAGAATTATCACACCTAGGGACTAGAGGTATACCTCGTTCACATTTTTATGGTGTTATATACATTGGAATCATATTTGTGGGAAAATGGCGTCTTTTATTAGTTCCTTTATCAGTAGTCGTGGAAGTAATATGGCTAATGTCACTGTCATCCGTAATGTCCATATCACAAATTCTATTTGAACGCTTGTGCTGTTGTTGTCTGTGATTACTGGAACTTACTGAAGAAGGTGTTTTTCTGACTTGAGTTTCAGTAGCATCCTCATCACCATCCATATCACTCCAGTTACCTGGAGGTAATTCTTCGCAAGAATAACAGATTCCTCGTCTCCAGTGTTGCTTCAGTCCATTTGAATCGAGAAATTTATGATGACATCTTGGGCAAATAAATGGTCTTTCGTTGGCGTGTAAACGCCGATGTAATTTTAGATGAATAAATTGGCTAAATTTGGCTGTACATAACTTACACGCAAATGGTTTTTCACCACTATGTAGTCGTAAATGTGTTTTTAAGTTACTTGTGCTGCTAAAACGTTTCCCGCACACTGTACATTGATGTGGTTTTTCACCGGTATGTACTAAATTATGCTTCTGTAAATGAGCCAACTGCGTAAAGCCCTTATGGCATGTATCACAACGGAATGGCCTTTCACCTGTATGTGTACGTAAATGCACTTTTAAATTAGATAATTGTCCAAAAGTTTTGCGACATATATTACATTCGTAATGCATGCGGCCATCGCGTTTTGTTAATGGGAATGGTAAAGCTCGGTACCCACGTTGTTGTAAATTATCGTTTGAAATGTTACCACTAATCACGGATTTTCCACGTAGTCTTGAGTAGTTTGAATGTAATCTATAGTTAGATAAAATCGATGACTTGTGTACAACATTTACTGAGTATTTTGAGTTTTCAGTAGATGTTATCGATTGAGAAGGAAGAGAGTGACTTGAAGTAGGTAGTGGGTAATTATAGTGGTGCTCACTATATTTCTTCGTACATGGTGTTAATATTGTCATCAAAGGATTACTACAAGGAGTTGTAATTTTATTCATCTGAAATGAAAATAAGTTATGAGCATAATCATATTCATTTTTATCCGGACTGTTGCTCGTTTTTGACTGAGGAGGTTGAGAAACTGACTGGGAAATATTTTTTAAATCACTAAAGTGTGCTGTATTTAGATTTGTACCATTTTCGCACATTCTGTACAAGGGTTGTTGTTTGTATTCAGAGTCAGGATTCGAGTTATCGTTCTGATTACGTTTATTGTTGCTGATATCATTTGTAATACAACATGATTGAGGGGACAGTGTAGAATTAGTGTTTAAAGACAATGAATCTGATCGGTGATAAGAACCCTCTTTCATGTGAGATGGTTTCACAAAAAGATTTTCTGTAAAACTTTCTAACGTCCGAAAATCATTCGATGTATTCACTGAAGGATGTATTGATGAATTGAATAGAAAACTATCACTGCCGTTATCAGCATGAATATTTATGTTATTACTAAACGGAAATGATTTAAACTGAATTTCATCTGTTTTCTTCGAACTCATCCCTGACACAGACTGACTGAAATCAATTGGTTTTGATTGAACTTGATTGAATTGTTCCAACCAAAGTTTATAAAATATACTAAACCAAAATTGAAAACCTGTTTGTGAACATGACGAAGAAGACAATGATGACTGTTCAGCCAATGAAGATGAAAAGAATGGTTGTGTTGGTCTACAATTATTAGTAGAATTAGAGCCATTAATTAACTGATCAGTAGAAAGCCATTCATTGTTTACGTAACTCTGATTTTCAGTATCAACATTATCGGAATTAAATTGAGTTAATTTTTTTGTGTGGTTTGAATCTGTCAGTGTATTAGTTAAGTGATTTGATACACTTAATAGCAAATCAGAGTTTGGTGATTCGTGTTCCGATAACAAAATTCGATCGATTGTGTAAGTTAAGTTGGTTTTTATTTCATCTGTATGATGTATAATATTGTTGTTATTACTGATGTTATTATTATTGTTATTATTCAATGAGTGGTTTGAAGACTGATTACCATCTGAAATTGAATCAGGGAAATTCAACATAAGCGAGAGATCTTCCGTAAGAGAATTCTGACATTCCTGTAAATAAAGAACAGTAAGAAAAAGAATTAGCTGAAAATTGATCACTTTATTGGAGAAGTAGTCTACACAATAATATACAAAGTCTCCTAACAAAAGAGTACAGAATAACCAATAATATGATAAAATAAAAAGTGATAGGAATTTATTATTTTTCCGGAAAAATTGGGCTCCTAAAACAATACCTTTCTTCAGGTATTAGACATTAGAGCATGATATCAAATACAAACCATGTAGCCGCGTGAGTGAGTAGTATGTTTATGGCTGTTCATTTACTCATTGAAAGATCCAACTTCATTCCGGAGAGACGAAGTTTAGTGGTCGTTCTGAAGAGCCTCGTTGAATTACAATCGATAAATGTGTTCATATCTGTGGAGTTTCATAATATAGTGTCTAAATGAATTATTTGTATTTGTAGAATGGGATCTGATTTATTAAATAAATAAGGTATAAAGGTGTAATTTGAGCATAACTGTAACAAAACTTTCCTCCCTGGACAAGACAGCAAATTGAGACTAAAAAATTTATTCACATTCAACTCATTATATATAAAAGTGTTTTGATGTAACAAGCAGAAGTATGCCCTCCTTAGTTATTTTCATCGCTTCAGGTTTATTATCAATAAGTTACTAGTGATCTGATAAATAAATAATTAGAATGGCTTGGTTAGGTATTTTGTCTCTGACTGGAATACGTGTTCGGTCATTCTAGTAATTTTTCAAACCGGTTGTTCTCTCATAACATCTTCACATTATCTCTGCTAATGTTGTTTGTATATCTGACCTAACACAGAAATGTCCTCAAGGTGAAACTGACATTTTACGAACAATGTAACCGTAGTATTTATTCTTTTAGTTGTTAGTTTCTTCCATTACGTTTACATCATCTAGAGTTAGTATCTATAGTCTTTCACCGAATTTTTTAGAAGGACTAAAGTTAATGAACAGCATTTGATTCCATTTTGTTATCAGAATATAAATAATAAGCTATGATTATGTAACATTATGTCTGACAAATTTGTTTTTTTTTGTTAAACGAACAAGAAAACAAATTTATGTATAGTTTTACTTCCATTCTTGGCCTTAAATACAGTCTGACACATGCCCTGTTGTCCTCCCATCCTCTGTATACATATTTATATTCCAATCTCATCCTCAACCTATATTCTATAAGTAACAGTTTTTTTTATACTTACGCACAGATCTTAAAGTGAAAACCAAAATATTTTTGAAGAAATTATTCTTTTTAGCCTATTGGCCCAGTTTTCACCTTTTAATTTATGATGAGAAATAAATAAACTATTTTGATGAGAAATTGCAAACTAATATAAAAAGTATACAAACACAACATTCAAAAGAATTCCTAATTAAAATTATTTCTTGTCACAAGTTGATTCCTCTGTCCCTCTCTCTCTCTCTCGCACACACACACACACATGGACACTGTCTACCTCTCATTGTTTCTGCCTTAAGACAAATCCAATTTATCTACAAAAGGGATACTTTTATAATTTATGGATTCTAACACTCTGACAGAAGTGATATGTCTTCTGCAAAAAAATAAGAAGAATAACGAAAATGACCATAAATAAAGAAACTCATCATCTTTTTTTACTTGAGAAATGTAACACATTCAAGTTAAATTAAAATATATGCAGATTATTTGTTGGCTAATAAAATAATAATTTCCAAATTTATATTGCCTTGATCAGATGTTACATTCATTGTCAGATCATTAGTCTATAGAATGCATCTAGATGATATTCGAAAGAAAAGAGATTTAACTTTATTGAATATAATAATCATAGAACTGAAATCCCATTCAATTAATTGTCGAAATGAATTATTCACAAATAAATTAATTAATTCAGCATTTATCAGTGAAGTTAATTCAAAAGAAGGATGATTATGTTGAGATGATGGTAAATATTAATTGTCTGAGGACTGGAATATTTCAACTGAATTCTTCTTATTTGAATGGCAAATTTTTCATGCCTTACTCAAGAGTTCTACCTAGGTAGAAATGTGCCCAAAATTAACCTATCAACTCCTTAATGATTTACATTATGGTGAATTGAAAAAACACATATTTGAGACTTCGTTTTTTTCCTTCGCGAAATCATGTAACATTCTTGATTTTCGAATCTTTTTCACTAAGATTCTGTATAGCTTGAAAACATTGGTTGACGATCAAAAGTGTTAATGAATTTTAGTTACCAGTTTAATAGTTTGAATTAAGTCATTAGCAGTAATTTCAGAATAGCAAAACCTATAGCCCCAATCTTCACATTAAAATTACTAATTCATCATTTATTATTATTTAACACCTGATTACAACTTTTATGGAGTGAACTAATGAAAACAAATGCTAGCTGTTTGTGATTTCTAGTATTATTTATCGTTGTTCTAGAACTCTCTCTGTATTTCCCTTCTCATACTAATTCCCTTTCTATTTAAAATTTTCTACTTTCGTATGATCCATTTTTCTGCATTGAAATATGACTATTTATGGTAAAATTAATAAACTATTTGTAATTACCGACTTGATACGCTCAGGTATTGTGTACTTTCTCGGCTAAATAAAATCAGTCAACTATTTTAAAGTTATTATCAGATGGGTTTTGTGGATATTATAGTAATTTCAGTGGTTAAGATCATGAGTCAGTTGAAGCTAGACAACCACCTCCAGTGCTTCCAGGTTTTCCATGGTGGTCTAGCTTCAACTGACTCATGCTCTTAACCATTGAGATTATTTCAAAGTTATTCATTGTATTGAATATGTGAAATATTTTTTTGGTATATTTTTGTAGAAAAATAAATCTGATACTTTAAACGGAATATTGAAATCTCGGAATGAACCTCATGTTTATTAGTTCAATCCATTTTTTTAGCTAATTCCACTGGGTCAGTCACTATATGGTCAGTCATGATAATAAAATCATTACCCATCATTCCATTTACAATCAGAAAAAAAAACTGCCAAAACAGAAAAGTTGTGCTGTTTGTTTATGGTTGTTGTCAAGTCAAGTGACTTAATACCCAGTCAACAGATTGATTTACTGACTAACCGAGTTCAGCTATGTATTTAATTGAACAAGCCTCATTTAATTCACAAATAAGAACTGAAAATATGTTCAGTTGTTTTTACTTTATTTCTCTGCTTACAATAATTAAGCGTAAAAGTGTGTTTGCGTATATACACATTAAAAAAAGCAAACGAGAAAATGATAGAAGGGGGAGAAAATTCACTGGGTTTTTTTGACAATGGATACAGAGATAAGACTAGTCGAAATGAATAGTCTTTTTGTGTTTGTTTTTTGTATAACCAAGCCTTTGAAAGTCATTATAACTCAATAAATCAATCAGTGTTGATTATTATAGCAGTGAATAATAAACTGACAGAATTAATTTTATTTTTAATGTAAATAAGTTCGCAGATGGCGTGCACATGTGATATAGCCAAATCGAAATAACGATAACAACAACTTGTTGTCATTCGAGCCCAGCAACAAACTTCGATAATCATTGACTTTGTTCTACATTGTGTTTTTTTAAAACAAATAATATTAGCTAAACAACAACCGTTTGTGGCAAAAAAGATCGTTTTATTTTTAAGAGATAAGTCTTTGTTAATGAAATTCTCTTTTAGTGAATTTTGTTAAATGCATTAAACAATAATTTATCTTGTTTGGAATGTAAAGTAAATATTATGGGACAGGTTAATGATACAGTAAGTAAAGGAATGTCTGACTCGTATAACCACTAAGCTTAATGAATGTTCCTTATTTATGATTCAGATCATATATCTGTCATCAAATTGGAATTTTAATCAAGTTTCGGCAAACAGCCTTCATCTGACAGAATTCATCATTAATAAGACAATAGCCATGATCTCAGAAGAAATAATGGGATCTCCTCAATTACTCGGATCTGTATCACTCAGAGACGTTACCACTAAACCATACATTATAACATTTTGAGAGGTATAATGTATTTATCTTATATTTTAGTAAGTGGAATTCGTGAAATTTATCTTCATAACTTGTTAGTTTACGAAGATGATTAATAAAAAATATATCTCCCTACTGGAACACTTCATTAATGAATTCACGCACACACACAAAGATATCTGATATGGAATTATTAAAAAAAATAACGTCGAAAAATGTAGAAAAATCTCAGATCAGGTATATTTTTTCAAATGTCTTCACGCAGTATGAAAAATATCTGTGATCCATGTTAGTTAACTAGAATTACAGCAAATGTCTTAACCACTAGATGATGCATACATTCGCATATAAAGACATCACATTTTCTAATCAGTAGTCAATGAGGAAACACATATTAGTGACATGATAACTACCACAAATCATGAATAAGTACTCCTTAATTCTCACTAATAGAAAAAACGGTAAAACTGAAGTGATTTCTTTCATTTAAGCATATAGTTTCGCTAAGAATATAAGGACGTTTAACCATGCTGTGTGAAATATGTTTTTTGTGTTGATGGTCAGTGGTCTCATTCACCCAAAAATCAACAGTTCACGACTGCCCAGGTCATTCAGTTGTATATTTAACTTCAGTGATGTGTAAATAATGAGTAAAAAATTTGTTAATATAACTAGTGTGACCATCATGATAGAATGATATCTACTTCAACATTTCGTACCACTAATGCAAACAATTATTAATCACTAATCTGACCATCTTGTCAATTTTCCACCTCCTGCTAGGTCTCGAAACTCAACTTTTTAAAAATCCGCCTCTATAGCTAGATAACAAATATAATAAATCTAGTTTTTAGCGAGGTACAATACCACTGTGAATCAAGTTAAACAATTATTTGAGAAGGGTATAATTATTCAATTAATTAAAAGAAAGTTGATCACGCAACTATGTCCTCCCACCTCTCTTAATCTATGCTCTTTCTCTTACCATTATAGTTGCCACCAGAAGCCAAAGTATCACAACAATATGTTAACATGTCTTTAAGGAAAGTGGTCAATGAGATGATTAGTTAATATGTGATTTAATTCGACAATTAGATAATGACTGTCCATTTGGTTGAATGTTCTCTGTTGATTACTCTACGTACTGTTTACTTAGCTCTTTTATTTATTTTTGATATGAGAAGATCAAAGTATGACACTAATGAAGAGAAAGGGGGGAGCATGAACGGAACAAGCAAGAAAATTGGCTAACAAATGGTTTTCGTTGTTGTTGTCAGGACTTTCATTTACATTTACACGGAAATAGAAGTAAAGGAACAGCAAAAACATTCCGTTTGGTTATTCGTGTTTAGAATGAAATAAAATTATAACTGAATCAAATAATTACCTAAATAACATCAGCGGAAACGATTGGAACTGCTATATTAGTTTCTAAATTTCATGATATAATCCATTTCAATTTTTACGCATCGTTTTTACTATCTAATAGTAAATTGTCCAAGATTTCATGAAACGCATGTCTTACATTAACTGATTATGAATTGGATAAACTATACACTTTTAAAAGTATTAAAATTTACCAAGGTAAAATCTCATTTTCAAATATCGTAATTTAGGTATAATTCATATGAAGTTAACCGTTCTATGATCCTATGCTATTATTATTACTGAGAATTCTATTGTTGCTTCTTTCGCATGCTCCACATAAATACCGTCAACTTGTACACAATACATTAAACCTGTGTTCGTAATTTTAGTTGAATCGAACCCAGAATTTTTAATAAATACCCCTATGGATGTACACTATTCATGATTTGTTCACTTACTCACTAAGTTTTTAACAGTGAAAATAAGACCCATTTTCACGAATTCGATCAATTTAGTTCAACCTGAGGTTCATGAACCATTTCAAAAAAAAGTTTACTACATTAGGCTACTAAAATGACTGGGATTCAGCTCTGTCGGCATATGTACATCTAAAATGTGTTATGTCGACGTTACTATTTAGTCGAAAACTTTGATGCAGTTAAATTTTAGCTAGTAATTGGATCCAGAAATTGTGTTCCGTCCTATATGGGACTCGTCAACTAATTTTCCAGAATCTCAATAATGAAACACACAAAATTTCCAACCCAGTACCAAATACTTTCTTATCTAATTAGCTACTGAGTGTAGATAATCACTAATTTTTCCAATGAATGTGAAGTGATTTTTAAGATATAGCATTTACTCGTTGTAGATTTTATAGATGGTAATTAGTCAGTTTCTATAGGCATATATGTATTCTATGCAGACAACCTCAGTAGTGATATTTAGTAAAAAGCTTTAACGACACCGGCTCTCAGTCTTAACATAAACGCAGGAATTCAGGCGCATCCAGCTCACTGGTCGCAAATAGGACGGAACACGCGTTCTGAACTCCAGTGTTAGCTGTAATCTAATTTGAATTCATAATTTTCCTTTTTCATAATCTAAAAAATGATTAATAATATTCTTCACTATAAACATATTGTACTATTGAGTTTTCGGTTACTGATGATTGTAATTAGTTTTTTTTTCTTTTATATCCCACTTTCATATCTCAATAAAGTTATCAAATGTATGGCAAGTGATGAATAAATCCTTAGTTAATAGTACAGATATCCAATTAACATTTTATTTAAACATGTATAGGTTATAAGTTTTACCTATAACTATCAGTTTCATTACACAAACAAAATAAATCTCAAGTCTAATGATCCAATTAAATTCATGATAAGAAACTGTAATGTAAAACAGTCTAATCATCCACTTTTTAGGTATTTCAGAAAATACCATAACATTTAGAACATAACAGTGAAATTGTTATTATACAGTCACAGTGTTCCAGTCATTTATTCAGTTTCTCTTAGTTCATAGAATTAATGAAATGATTTGATAAATGACACATAGAATAAAGGTTAAATGATTGAGAAATAGATATACTCATCAATAAATTAAAATGCTACATTAAATTAATGATTAAAAGAAGAGAGTTTTAATTTCAATTACTGAACTAATCACAACTGAGACAAATGGATGATTGAATAATAACTGGCTTCGTTGTTATGATGATCATAATTTATAATTTTTTTTTTAAAAAAAAGGATGAAGATCAATGTTTAAAGTTCAACAAGCATATGGAATGAATTGATTGTTATGGAAAGAGAAAATAACAAACTTATTCATGGTTAAATACCTAATAAATTGCTACGCTTCATTAACACAATACTGTGGTTGTCTTAAATTTCAATTGACAATTCGTTTCACCTGTTCATTAAGTTATTATCAAATAAAACCGGGGGGGGTGGAATATAATTCAATCTAAATAACACAACAATAAATCATTTGACAATCTCATTCCAATCCAACTGTATACATAGTAGACTGATTACTTGAGAAGATTTATTTAAGCTGGATTTGTTTTTGTTTTTTCTTTCTGTCAATATTTGAAATTATTTAAATAAAAACCGAAACTTTGAAACAATCAATAGTGATATCAAAGGTACACCCGAAAGACTTGTATATAAATATATATACTTTACTCATTCTAATCGATGGATGATAATCAATCTGTTTGCAAAATGGTCAGAATATAAAAATTATTAGGAAACTAATGTAACTTTAATATCACAACCAATTTGGGTACTCTGAATTCTGAGAAGTAAATAGGTACTTCCAAAATTTGCAGTTAGTGATATAAATCAAATAAATAGTGGGAACATCTTTTTATTTCACATAATTTGCAAATCTCACAGTTAGATAGAATATTCTTGAAATATATTTATAGAGAACTGTCAACCTCTACTCAATACATCTTGATTATGTAATATATAGATCATTGTTATACAAAACACAGACCGGTTGTGAAACCATAAAAATAATAACAGAGAAATTGATCACCATATCTAAACACATTAACACTACTAATTCATGGCTTTTAAAGGTGAATTGATTGTTGTAACATTTTTATCTCTGTAGCACTTTATAAAGAATATTAAACAGATACTCCAAAATTGTATATTACATAGATATAACTTCGATAAAAGTCCCTTTTTCAGTGAATGTCGAAAATTTTCAGCTAATCAAACTCAGATAATAGCTTACTTATCTATTTGTTGGTATGAAGTTTTATTAGAGGAATATTGGTATGACTGTAGATACATTAGTCGGGAGTAGAAATGAATGTACATAATAATATTTACCTTACTAGAGGGGAAAATGACACGAAATAAAAAGTATGATAAACCAGTAATAAATTCCTTAGTATTCGAAAGTAGGGACTACAGATTCAGTAATTTACTTTTAAACATTCATCAATTATTCCCAAAAAAGTATAGATTGCAAATATGAACCCATGTACATACTTAAAAGATCGATTTCAGTTGCAGCTATTTACTTAGATAATTCAACACCTCTGAAAAATCAGGATTTTTACTAATACACAGGCAAGTGTTGTTCGAAATGTGAACTTGAAAAAATAGATTTTTTTTCAGGCTATCTGTAAAGCTTAGTGGTTACAGTTGAATAAAAAACTTGTAAAGTACGATTGATAATTTGTTCCGATATAGATAGATACTAAAATGTTTTCCAGATGCAAGTAATAAAAATTCGAAGTATTTGTCCCTTCTAGGAGACATATGATTATAAATGCGAAAGCTTTATGGACCCTCATCAATACTATCCACCACTAAAGAACAGATAGTTGTAAAAGGAGGGAGTGATAGTAATTAAACTATACTGGCATTGAATATTGTTAAAATTTATTCAACGTTAATTAACAAAGTGTAAATTTGAATGGTAGCTTCTGTTAATTTACCACTATCCTAATTAAAACCTTCTTCTTACTCATCCAGAATTAGATTGATTTTAAAGTGCAATATCAGAATAAACCTACTAAGTCGCTCATGATCGAAATAGCTTCAGCTTTCGAGACTTACTTGTATTTTGACAGTCCAATGGGTTACCATCACTTTATTTATACAATATGTAACGTGTGACTTACATTCTGGAATGAATTGAAAGTAATTCTTCATTCAATTAGAAATAGTTGTTTTCCTGATTCAACCAGAACATCTAGCTATTAATCACTGTAATTCTGACCGTGTGATAAATATTGATAAAATATGTACGTTGTAGTGTTAAAAAAATGACGACTGAAGAACGTAAAAGAACAACGGAATTGATTTGAAGCCAGCTGGAAAGGAAAGCATGGGGGCAGAGATCAATTCAGGATACTTGTCGGTCGTCTATAGCTCATTTGAGGGCTCTGAATATTAAGTAGGGAAGTAAGTAAAGGTTGTTTTGCCAATAAACCGGTTGGATAGTCATGACAATTTATGAAAATAATTTAAAGTTTGACAGATCACGAAACAGTATAATTGATTGTACTTATGTAATGCAGAGATTATGAATTTATATTAAATCAAACACTTCTTTGGTGATGGATACATTATATAAATGAAAATGCATTAAATAATGATCTGACAGGTATTCTACTAGTCATTCCAATACTTTTACTTTAGTCTTGTTAATGGTAGTAAAAATGAGTTGAATCTAAACAAAAGCTAACTCTATCTATTTAGCAAAAATTAACTCTCCGGGGTATCTAATTCAGTTCAAAATAAACAAAAAAGTTTAATTTCTCTTATTCACACAAACAACCGGTAGGAACTACTATCGTCCAGGTTTTCTATTGATACTTACTCTGATATACAGAACTCAAAAGTTCTCATCATCATCATCATCAAAATCAAACTATCATTAAATTTAAGTTTGATTTGGGGGTATTTTCGGTTATCGATTCCATCTATAGTTGGGTAACTCGTGTCTTTGATTATGAAGTCACAATATTGGTGCATATGGATAATGTAAATAATCTGTAGGAAATAAGTTCAATATTTACATCTGTCCTATAGTGCTTCAGTTGAAAACCCTACAATTCCGACTCATTTCCAGAATAAAAAGCCAATGTACTACCTGTGAAACACTAAAATTTTAGTAAATAGTCTACTTGTATTATTTTCAATATATGTTGCAATAAAATTGAGATAACAATAAAGACAAGAGTAAACCAAACTGTCCATGCACAGATAGACTTACATTTACTGATTCATTCACCGTTTCAAGTTTATTAAATATTTCATCTCTTCCTTGTTTATAAGAGAATAAATCGCTTATTGGAAGTTGGACCCCATTTGATTCACTATACAATGATGAATGTATACTAGATGATGAAAGTGAAACAGGTAAGGATGTTGACAGAGATGGTGACGTTTTGATTGGAATAGCTGATGTTGACAGACTATCTTTTAAAGTCTCATTATTTCTCATTCTTGATCCATGTGATAACTTGTTTGCTGTATAATCCGATGAAAGTTCCTCATTTATTTCATTGTTTTGATGATTATAGCCGTGGCATGCTTCATTGGATGATGCGAAATTTAATTGTAGTGACTTAAATAGGCATGAGTTTAAATACTGCATTGACTGATAATACTGCGATTCATTACTTTGACGATGATCATTGTTATTATTACCATTATTCAGCTGTTTTGTTCCCAAATCAAAAGACTGACACATGTTCTTTAGTGACTCTGATGCTGTCAATGTTCGTATTTCAGCTACTTCTGTGTAATCAGGTTTATTTCTGAAATGTAAATTATTCCTATTGGAATTGTTGTTTATGTTAGCAGTGTTACTACTATCACTGTTGTTGTTTTTATGAATAGTTGTACAAGAGGCTATCTGATTACTGTGTAAAGTGGAACTGTCAGATATAATAGGGTGGTACATGTGAGTTTGTTTATTAAACAGATTGTAGTTATGGCAAATTAGTGGACTAATTATCGATTCTGTATGAGTTAACATTGAAACTGAGATACTAGTATTAGATTTTCTTTATGTTCAGTAGAGTATTTTCTAAATATAAAAAAGGGAAATTATAAGAATTTCAATAATAATATTACTCATAAGTAGTTAAAAACTAGATTGATCGATTGATTTACATTTACCTTGTTTTATTAGTAACAGAAAAGAAGTCTTCGTAGTGTGAACAGAAGTTCTTTTTACCAAAGTGGAGTTTAACTACTTCAGTACAAGTTTCAGATTTAATTACAATATGTAATTCCGTCTTTGGTATTTATTCTCGTATAAGTTGTAATTGAAATAAGTTTAAGAGACAAAAAAGATGTATTTGCAAGTTTACTGTGATATTTACTATGATAAAATTTCCCTAAACACAATACATATTGTTCAGAAGTTGACTGAGTGTACCGATACACTTTAGCTAAAGTGGAACTGAATGTTCCGTGTTGCTTCATGTTGGGAAATGACCGATACCAGCTGTAAAGGTAAGATACTTTCTAATGGTTAAAGGAAAAAAAGACAAGATTTTTTAGGTACGTACCAGGAGAACGCTACTTATTTATGTAATAAATTCTTCAAATTTTATCATATTCCATCATATTTTCAATCCATTACTGTGTATCATAACGTTCAACATAAATGAATGCTATCTACCCAATCTACAGACAGATATATACTGTTTTCTTAATCTTGTAATTCTATCCATGCAATCGATATTCTATTTAACTAACAACTATTTAGCATGAAACTGTTATAAATAATATAAGATATTATGAATTATTTAATGGATGACACAGAAAGTCTTTTCTGTTATGCAAAACTAATTACTAATTAGCTATTTGCTTATTTAATGGTAATAGTGTTAACTATCCACTAGATGTGGATAACAAGATCACGTTGTGTATAAAAGTCAATAAGTAGTCATTAATTTACCATCTAATGGCAATAGAGAAGAATTTGGATTTCATTTGTTATATGGAAATTGATGAAGTCTTGACTTTTAAAGCGTTGAGAAAGTGTTTAGGCACGAAAATTTAGAGTGCGATAAGAAAAATGTACCTCACTGAGTGGAATTCGAATGGCTATGTGTTGCCGTACAAGTGTAAGTTAGCCAATTAATGATAACTGACGAAAATGGATTACATTCATATCTTGGAGTAAAACATAAAACTTGCTTTATGCAAAGCAGAGGAAATTCTTTTTTCTTAATTGTCATCTTTAAATTTACGTCTTATGATATCTAGAGATAGCCAACCACGCAATTCACTATGCGTCATATCCACGGATTTCGTGTATCAGTGATTCGACCAGTATGATAAAGAACAATAATACTTGTCTAAGAATTTTTTTCGCTAGACTGATTCCAGATTAGTTAGAAATGAGTAAAAATAAAGACTTTTATTCTGCATAGGGGAATTATATCCTAAAGAAACTAACAATTGATGCAACCTATCTACATTGTGGTGCAGAAATCGCCTTTTTCATCAAACAGACGAATTAATTAATACACATGATTAACACGAACCGCAGTAATTAAAAGAAAACATCAGGGATTACGCATAATCTAAAAGATAGTTACCATTTCAATTTAAAGTTAATATGATAACAAATGACAAACACTCATCTTTAATAAACAAAGTATATGTCACTAGATTACCAATAAAACTTTTCAGAATCTAATAAATAGTCCTTAAACATTACAATGACTTCATTAACCTATAAGGGATTCTTATTGATTTTGTAACCATTATAAACTCTTGAGCCATAATTACTTCACTGAGATTATATATTGTTTATAAATCTTAGATTGCCGAAATATTCGTATGTATTTCATGTTGATCACAAATATTTAATTCTTATCTACCATAGAAGAACGTAAACTAACCATCCTGAACAGTGTATATATTATTATTAAATTCTTGATTGTTTCCAATCCCTATTAATCGACTAAAGTGTATTAATAGTTTTATAATTTCGTTAAGATCGTCTATTTGAACGGTAGGTTAATTGAGAAATATAAGAGATGATACGATTTTAGCATAATAATAATAATGATAATAATAATAATAATAATAATAGTTTTTATTTCCACGAGTTACTTTCTAAACTTACTTTACTGTTAAAATTATTATCCAAATGATGAGTACAAATCCGAGTAGTTCTGTTGTACAAATAAATGTCAACGATAGTTCAAATGAAAATGAATGTTTTCGTGTGTTAAATAAAATCTTGTATTGTGATGATACGTAAATACAAAAATATTTATACATACATACAACACACATTTGTGCACATTTTATTCGTATTTATTCGTTCAATAACTTAATTACTTAAACAGTTTTAAATATTGTGATGGTTCACTCAATTTGTCCGCCATTACTCTCTTATTTATTCACTCATTCATCTATTGCTCATTCATTCATTTATTCACTACTCGTTTGAACGATTTTCCATTGTTTTCTCCACCCCATTATCATGTTTGCTTGAAAGTTTACATTCATGTCAAGCTTAGGATTGATTATATACTTATACCTATTGTGTATCCTCGATGAAACGAACAGATGTTTGAGATATGTAGATTTACGCAATGTTTGCGTGTGTATACTCTTATCATGTGCGTAAATATGTATATGTCTATGAAGAGAGAGAGAGAGTGAACAACACTAGTAATTTATCTTTCAGGTTATTTTTAAATTTCGATTCCAATGTGCTCGCTTATTTTCTCTATCTCTCTTTATCTTACCTTAGCATATACGAAAAAAGTGTATAACTGTGAAGAATGCGGAGAAATGTGTGGACATACAAATCATCGCTAGCTTGTCATTGGTTAAACATATTCAGTGAAAGGGGTGATATATTCAAGTGAAGGGAGTGTCGGGTAACAGAAAGCAAATTTCTGTACATAAGCAGAGTAGGACTGATAGATTAGAATCTACGATCAAAGTTCACTGGTCTGGTCGAAAACAAGTTTCATACTACATGAGTGCAAACATAAGTCTGACTACCAAGGATGTAATTTATGATCAGTGTGAAATATTCGATCAAACTACAGTTAATTGCACAGCTGACTAATATTTTCAATAATATAATTGCATGAATTTATGGGATAAAATAGATGACAGAGAGAAAGTATTATTCCCGCAGATTGTTTTGATTGGTTGTTTGTTGATTTCTGAAATAAAATTACGTTAAACCAAAATTATTAAGTTCCACATTCCTTAAACATTTGAACGGAAATGTTTCATGTTTCATGTTCAAGTTTACGTACATATTTTAAAAAGGAATGAAAAAGCAGAACATTCAGTAACAGAATATTAAGTAGTAGAAACAAATAAAAGATCATTTACATATGAAAACAGTAGTACGAATCGATGAATATGATTACAGTGATAGCTAAAATATATGAGGTTATATATAACCCACTAGTACAGTTCATGTTTAACCTATCTAATTATATTTTTGAATGTGGCACATTTCAAAAACCCAGAAACACACACCTCTTATAGCACCAAACTTGATATCTACACTCGTGTGAGTGTGTCACTGAATCCCTCAGCTACATTTGGATTTTTTCAAAACAAAACGGTATTTCAGTTGCCTAAATGTGCATAAAACTCTTGATATTCTTATTAGCTGTAGCTCTCCTAGAGTTGCTGTCGGTCCCAAGGCCAGGTAAAAAAAGAGGGTTGGGCATGGTGTCGGCAACCCCATCACATAGAAAGAAATCTTGCTAAAAAAACGCCAACAGGATTAAACAAATTAAACCATTTAAACACTATCCTGGGAGTTCAAGGAAGAATTATGACGTCTCATGATGAAAGCCAAAATTCTTCGAAAGTCACGAGGTCGATGCTTCTAACAACCAGAGCAATATTTTTATAGGTACATGGTACGTTCGGACAATGTAGGAGACCGGGAGGACCAGTCAAATAACTGTGGAAATGAGGAGATACGACTTGGCAGTGCTCGGAATAAATGGAACCCATTGGATCCAAGCTGGACAGGAAAGGATAGATTCGGGAGATGTTTCTGAACTCGTGTCACGAAGAACAAAATGCTGAGCACACCAGGGAAGTTGTTCTAATGCTGTCCAAAAAGCACGAAAAGCACTTACTGAATGTGAAACTCATGGTGCCAGGATCACCAAAGCATTTTTCAAAACAAAGGAGGAGGGAATCACAATAAATGTTATCCAGAGTTATGCACCAACCAATGATAGCAACGACAATGACAAATATAAACTTTATGAGAGAATGCAGCTGATCATAGCGAAGTGCTTGGGAAAGGACCTGACCATCCTGATGGGAAACCCAAACGCCGAAATTGGAATGGACAACACAGGATACCCAGATTAGCAAATTCGTGTACATTCAACAAAATGGTTTTTGGTGACACAATATTCTCACGCGAATGCATACACAAAGCTACATGGACCTCACCAGACCACACCACGAGAACCAGATAGGTCATGTTTACACCAGTAAATAATTCCGAAGGATAATCGAATATTTGAAAACCAAGAGAGGAGCTGACATAGCTTCAGATAACCACAAGGTGGTTGTCAAGATGAAACTGAAGTCAAAGAAGCATTGGACAACTGGACAAACAGCAGTGCAAAGGTTCAATACAGCCTTCTCACGAGATACTAACAAACTCAACGAATTCAAGCTAGCTCTCAACAACAAGTTCCAAGCCTTACAGGATCTACTGAAAAAAAGAAACTACTGTAGAAGACAACTGGAAAAGGATCATAAAAGGATTAACTTCAACATGTCAGGAGGTGCTGGGCATTATAAAGCATGGATAAGCATTATAAAAAATGAATCTCTGTCGGCAGGATTCAAGAAATAAGGAACAAGAATACAGCAATTAACAGCAACCGAAAAAGAACAGAGACGGTAAAGGCACAAGCTGAATACACAGAAGCAAACAAGCAAGTAGAAGAGCTAGCAACGATAGCGGAAAAATCTGCAAGAGAAGGAACTATGAGAGAGCTGTATGACACAACGAAGAAACTAGCAGGGAAATATAGTGAACCAGAGAGACCGGTCAAGGACAAAGAAAGCAAGACAATCACCGAGATTCAAGAACAGGAAAAAATGGGTAGAATACTTCGAGGAACTCTTGAATAGACCAGCTCCGTTGAATCCTCCGATCATCGAAGCAGCACACACAGACCTTCTTATAGATGTAACTCCACCAACGACGGAAAAAATCAAGATGCCCATCAGGCAAATCAAGAGCGGGAAAGCAGAGAAAACAAATCAGTTTCCAGCTGAAGCGGAAACTAGGAAAAGACGTTGGATATGGATAGGACATACACTACGGAAATCATCAATCTGCCTCATGAGGCAAGAACTAAACTGGAATCCTGAAGGAAAACGGAAAAGAGGTAGGCCAAAGAACACTCTTCATGGGGGATCGGAAGCAGACATGAAAGGGATTAATAACAACTGGAAAGAACTGGAAAGAATTGCCCAGGACAGGGTTGGATGAAGAGTGCTTGTGGGAGGCCTATGCTCCTCATCGAGAGGTAACAGGCGTAAGTAGGTAATATAAAGTTTGGTAATTGAATATTTGTAAGCATATTGGACTGTAGTGGTTTTTTCGGTATTAAACAGTATCATCATCATGGGATACAATCACTTGATTTGAAAGACATATTCACTTAGATCCCCAACACCAACTTTTGCACCATTTTACAGAGTTTCCAACTACTGTGTATATTCGGGAGTGCTAGCAGTGAACCATGTTTTCCTATTTGACAAAAATTCTATAGAATTTTATGAACACCCTTTCTCTACCCAGTAATACACACCAAGACAAATATCAGTCGAACATGTATAACACCTCCCTGATTTATCACTTATTTGGTGTAGCAGATGTCTAACGCTACTTGAAATATAGATAAGCACTGAAGACTACGGTTTGACGTCTATTTTTAATCGGCATAAAATGATGCAAATGACGCTATTGTACTTTGTTCAGAACCTTTGCTAAAGAGTTATAAAACAGTAGGTGAGTACATCAAGGAACGTCCTGACTGTCAGTATAATAACAAACCTAAAGAGCATATTTCATTTTTCAAAAATATTTGCAGTGATAATGTTTTTACAAATTAATGATTTCTCTCTATATTATTTCGTGCTTGATCCAAATTCCAAATATAATACATCTGGTTTTGCTCATTCAGTTCTTTCTGGTTCGAATATTGGTCCATACGTAACTACTAGAGTACGAATTGGACAGTTCCGGGAATTATTAGCTAACGTACCGAGTTCAGCTACTTCTAATTATCAAAGATAACTAATTCTGACTACAAAATAACCAGTTTCGAAAAAGAATATATCTTTTGTCAGTTCGATTAAGTGATGGTCAGTGTTTATAATTCGAATTAAAAAGTAGGTTTAGACGTTTTATTTCTTATATTAATCTTTTATAATAATCTACTCAAACAATAATTCCATTTTAACATTTTGTTAACGATTAAAGTAGTCTAATTTAGGTGTGTGTGGTTGTGTAAGAGATTAAGGCGGGTACCAGTATGATAACATCGATGGATGACAATTACTGCACTTGATATCGATTGAGAGGGTTGAGAAACTTTCAGTGAAATGTCTTACAAAATGTTTTTTTATTTCATATTTCAAACACCGAATATATAGACTGTTATTCTTATTAATATGATGACTTAAAAATATCCACTTGATGAATATTTTCTCCTCTGTATTATACAACACCAGTAATAAAAATATGATTCTCAAACTATTATTATTATTAGTATTATTATTATGACACAATAAGAATGGTCACTTAAAAGTATTGAACTACTTTGGAAAATAAAGCCTCTTCAGATTTAAATAGTTAATTAAGGACAACATACATTATAAGTTTAACAATGAAAGTTATTAGGATCATAGTTGATAGTATTAATAATAAAAGATATTAACTACCATTTCGAGTACTTAAATTAAGGTAGATTTTATAAGGTGATATTAATCAACGAGGGAGCCACGAATAAGTGCTGTACATTACAGTTGAACTAGTCACTGTCATGTGTTCGTTATTACTTCTTTGTTTGATCAAATAATCTCAGGTTTCACGTCCAGCACATAAAGATTGAGAAGTAAGGGAAAAATCAAGTGGCTAGAGCCTTTTAGATAGAGGTGGAGGTAAATATATCTCGGGGACCTTTTAATGTGGCATTCTGGTTCATTCCTTAAAGCCATTGGATATTTTCGACGAAATTATATAATTTTTCAAATCATACCAAGGAATCCCTTGAAAGGTAGCCAAAACTAAGTGGTCTCTTAGAACAACATATATGAGCAAACATTATTGTTCTTAATTCACTTGTTATTGTTTTACTTGGATCTTCCCATTCTGAATAACACTATGACGTCTGAAGCGAACGGTATTGGGTTCGAGTCCCGGAGTGGACATCAACTCTGAGATGCAGGTACATCCAGCTGACGAGTCCCATATATGACGAAAC